CCCGCAGCGCCCGCAGCGCTACGGTGAGGGCAGGGCGCGACCACGGCAACCGCGGAGGGGAGGGGAGGGAAGGGAGAAGGAGGGAGAGACCACTGCGACAGGACGGGGGGAGGCGCGGCACCCCCAGGTTCGCGGTGGGTGATGTGTGGGGCGGGCAGAGCTCCTCTTTTGCTGAAGGCATCGCTGATGTTTGGGGCTCCTGCTTTCTGCGGGGACACACCATTGTCTTCACGCTCGAGGTCTGCTGAAGAGTTTTTCTCACAGGAGTTTGGGTTCTGTTAAGGCGGGATAATCCCAGAATAGGAAGGGACTGCAGTGGGTCGTTTGGTCCAGTCTCCATGCTCCTGAAGGGTCGTCCTGGATCACGTTCCACAGCATTGCATCCAGGCGGTTCTGGAATATCTCCAGTGAGAGAAGCTGCACAGCCTCACTGGGCAAAATCATATAAATGGCTTCCCTTCATAGTTCTGTTTGGAGAGTCACCAGAAAGCCCGAAGCCATTGGAGCTGAAAGTGACCTCTAAAAAAGCTTGACACAGAGGAGAACCGCTGCTTTATTTAACTTCTGTAAACAGTTTTGCATCTAAGCTTCTGCTTTGCAATTAACAAGTTGTAGACTTCTGTTTGATAAGCAAAAGCTTATCACTGAAATGGCAGATGGACTCTTGCAAGAGCAGTGTCCGTGTCTTGCCCTTAAGGCCCGTGTCTTACTTCTTGAATCCTTGTCTTTGCTCCATTTTTCCCCTTCTCTATACCATAGTTCCTCATCACAAGAGCAGCAAAATTTGTGTTTCCTTTAAAAGCTCTGTCTAGCCCCCACATGAAAACCCCTGTTTTGAAAAGCAATGGTACAAAAATGATTTTCTGATAAGTTCTGTTGCTTTCCTTAAGCCCGTTGCTATGCAGGGTGGGGATTCACATGTAATGATGCTGACATTCAAATCAACAACTGAACCATCTAAAGACAGTCTCCAAGCACATTTCCAGTGATTAATCAGCTGTATACTCACACAGAAATATTTGTCCTGTCTCCAGTCAGTGAGGCCAGCAGGGACTGCTCCAAGACACCTTTCTTAGATATCTCAGCACATTTCCTGACAGGTGTCCAGGCTGCACCTCTGCCCTCCTCTCCTGCACCTGAGGTGGATTTGTGGTTCTGTGCACACCTCAGCAGTTGGAGGTGTTGGAACCTGGGAAGGATGCAGGAACCTGGGAAGGATGGAGCTCAATGGTAGATGCTCCAGGAAGTGTGACATAAATCAAACACAGTGTGTCCTTTCAACATCAGGGAGGTCCTGAACAGCAGTTTCATTTTGGGCTGTTCATTTATGCCTTCTAAAGGACCTGTCTGTTAGGAGTTTGTGCAGTCTTTATTTGATGGCTTTTATCTTCTTGGCCCACATACCACTGTGCCTGGACTATGAGCTCTTCAATTTTATGAAATAGTGAATGGAGGAAAACCTCATTTCTTCTGTTTCTAAATGTTGGAAGAATTATTCATTTTCTTCACACTTTTAGTGACTTACCTATGCAATTTGTCTTGTTTGTACTATCTTTTGTTTTTTAAGTGAGAAAATATTAGTCTATATAATAATTCTTGGTATGATGAAAGAGTCATGACTTTATTGGTTACTTTTGTCTATATATTTTGTGTTGGATTTTTATTTATTTGAGATGTATGGTCAGGGCTGCAGGACACCATTTGTAATACAAAGGCAGCATGAATTTATAATGATGAATGCTTTTGGTTTTGTTTCGTTTCTGAGTAGTTTTGGTCTTTAATAGTCACTTCAAGCTCTCTTTCTTTTTGTTTGCTTTTTTTGGTGGGGGTTTGAGGTGGTTCCGGGTTTGTTTGTTTGTTTCTGTTTTCTTTTGGGGTTTTTGGTTGGTTGGTTTGGGGTTTTTTGAGTGGTAATAATTGTACTGACATACTTTGCTGTGTACAGTGAGGAATTCTTTTCCTCATGTGTTATTTCACACATTCACACCTTGAATTTCATCACAGGTTTTGTTGTCCAGTAAACTGAATTTACAAAAGTATTTTGTGAGGAAGCTTGAAACAATCTTTGTGCGCTACATTAGCTGTTACTTTTATCCATACACTGCTCCCCTATACATATACTATACATGCTAATATATAGGAGGCACTACTTTCCTAGTATCTTATTCAGCCCCAGGTCTTGTAACTTACATGTACTTGTTATTGTTACCTGTTTGCCAGGTCAGGACATTGAATGTGTTTGTTGATTAGGCCTTTAGATGGTCCCTGGAGTGGAAATTGGTTTTTTCTGACCCCCTGCACTACACCAGTGGTACTGTCCCATACCACAGTTAGGAGCTGACCAGTTCTATTTTTGCAGTGCTTTGTAACTGTTGGGTTAATACATTCTTATCCTGTTGATTTATTGGTAATTTTCTTGACTACTTATTGTAAAGCCTCTTTTCCTGAGTCTCGAACTTAGGTCTTTATATATATCCTATCATGACAAAAAGTTCTTTCTGGGGAACTTTTTAATCTCTGCAGTGAATACTAAGGTAAATTATTTGTACTGGCCTTTAGCATCCATTCTTTGGGCTGTAGTTGCAGCTTACTTGTTTTACAAGCTCTTTTGGTTATTTAGCTGTTTGGTTTCTTCTCATAAAATAAAAAATATTTCAAGTATTAGCTTTATGCCTTTTACAAGCTGCTTTTAAAAATACCTTTGTCTATTTTATTGTGGTTTTATGTTCTTCTTTTGTTGGAGTTCTGCTGTCCTCATCTTACAGCTTGGTTTTCTAAATATCTTTTCCTTCTAATAGTTTCAGTGTTATCATTTTGAAAGCTCTGTTTATCCACAGCTTAATTTTTGGGAACTGAAATTAGTTTTCTAATGAGCACTATCCTTAAGGAAGTTTAATGAATTAACATTTTGTGATTTCTATTGAGAACTTCTTGCTTATCACTCTTAATTCAGTTTTGCAAGGAGGAAAAAAGATTATACAGTGAAAAAAAGAATTCAGCAAAGAATAAGTGATAAAAAGATGTGGGTCATTTTCCAGCTTTTTTTGTCTGAAGTAATCTTAGGGTGTGGTACTCCAGGAGCCTAAACTGATCTAAAATGGGACTGCCACAATCTGACCTCAGCTTTCCAATCCCTTCCCCATTCCTGTGAGCACATTCATGGAATGTGAGCTGTCTGGAAGCTAATCTCTGGTTTTTGTTGTTTTGTTTTTTTTTTTAGTGGTTTGGGGTTTTTGTTTGCTTCGTTTTGGTTTATTTTCAGTAAAGGGTGTATTTTCTCTCTGTGAACTCCATTATTGTGGAGCAGCTCACAGTGTGACTGTCCAAGCACCTGCCCCGTGGTTTTTGGGGGGTGGAAGTTGTTGTGTTCCAGGTGAGAGATGAAGGCAGAACAGTATCTACCTCAGTTTGTCTTTAGGTATACTTTTTTTTAATAATGTTGATGTTAGGGATTAGTTTCTAGAGAAGTGGGACTCTACTGCTCCATACAATGGCTGATACTGTAGTTCAGCCCTCAAAAAATTAATGGCAACTCTTTCAGAATTTTAAATTTTTTCTCTTTGTTATCTCTGAAGATAAACTTATATAGCTATAAAATTTTTATGCTGTTTGATTTGGAGTTCAGAGATACCTGAATGGTAACAGAGCTTAATGTACTTGAAAAGAATAACAGTGCAAATATCCAGTTTGGGTGCTGAATAGGTGAACAGGTCACTGAATATATCTAAAAAACTGCCTGAATCTGTATTACAATACAGTGGTTCAAGTTGTGTGCTGACACACAGCAGGATCCAAGACTACCCCCAACAGAGTCCAGGTGTAAAACATATCTTACTCCACTGTTACCTCTTTTGAATGAGAACTTTTTGTCACAAGCTAGACAGGGAACTAAAATAAGATAGTTGTTCCTTTGCTGGGAAGAGGATATTTAAGTCATTCGCTGGGGGTCATTTTCTACCTGCCGGATTGCACTAATAAAATCTGAGGCAGGTACCCTGATTTTCACTAGTCTTTCCTCCACGCTGCAGAAATACTATGCAGAACTCAGAACAACTGTGTGAGCTGGAGAAATGACCTGTTAAAAATGGTTCGGTGCAAACCTACCTAATGCGCATCAGAAGACTCAGATTTAGAAGTTGTTGACTGAAAAAAACATCATAGTGGTGTTGATGAACAAACCAGGGGAATTTATTGATACAGAGGGCAGCATAATTTGATTTACAGTCAGTTTTGAATTCTTCACACTTGGTGTGACAAAATGCAGGAAGTCCAAAAGGCCAGGAATGTAACTTGCTGCCAAAGAGTTTAGTGATTGAAAGTTTAGCTCAGTGTCAAGAATGTGCAGTGAGATAATTAGTGACAAAAATCTTAATGCAAGATTAAATTTTATCCTGCTGGACTGAAGCTTCTGTTGGAGACTAAGGCAAGACTTAGGTGAGGGTCAAATGATTTGTTTCCCTGCCATGATCTGCCTTTTTTGTTACTGTTTCTTACCCATTTGGACATCCGTTGAAGCAAGATTACCGTTTTATATGGAGCTGGTTTTGCAGTTTGTCCCCAAAAGCTGAAGGATGAGTGTGTTTCTCACCATGCATCACATGGTGGAGAATTCAAGGATGCACAGTCCCACACCATGTAGTCCCTGCCCAGGATGTGGCAGGATTATTTCAAAATCATTGTGGGAATTTGTTGATGCAGTGTCTTTTGTCTCTGTATAAATGCCAGATGCTTGGTGTGGACATGGCCCTATTGAATGCAAGCTATCAGTATTATTTTGTGTTGTGGATTAGCAATCTTTTCCATTAAGTTACATAATGGCACGGTTTTCAAGTACTTTTCTCAGGTTTGTTTTCATTTGTTCATATGAATAGGTCAGTGTTTCCATTTCCAACTGAAAAAAGTGATTGAAGTGTAATTTCTGTGAAAACTCAAGGTCAACATGAAGAATGTCAGTGTTACATTAAATTCTAATTAATAAGAATTACCTTTAACTATTGCAAGATTTTTGTAATGAGTGCATAAT